AACCTTGGTTTTCGTCATTAATTCGTTCCATAAAGTCTGACGAAAACTGAAGCAATAATTCCCCGTAAGAAATAATGTAAATCCAATTAATTCATTCCAGACACCCAAAAGTATTAACAAAAAATACATTTTATAGAAAATCACCATAATTTTATATTCAGAAAAGAATGAGAAATAAATATAAAGGACTCATGAAATGGAAGAATGAACATTTAACATACCTTTTACCTACATTAAAGACTCTTGTTGGCATATGGAAGACATTGAGGAGGGGAGAGGGAGGAGAGGTTATTGTTTGGAAGGGAAATCCCTTTCCATAAGGACTTCAGGAATCAAGTCCCTATCCGGGGTTACTTCCCTTTTTTGTCTTTTACTAGCAGTAGGACCAGCTTGAGAGTCACTGGAACCCTGTCGCACAAAAAATCTGTCCAGAGAGGTCTGTTTCTGGCGTCTCTTAACCCTTTCAGGGTCCACAGGCCCTCTCAGAGACTTCTTCTCAGGGTCCCTCAAATTTCAAAAAAAAAAAAAAAAAAAAATTCTTATGAAAAGATAGAGAATCGTTTCCCAATCATAATGACACCAAAAGTTTGAAATTTGATGGAAAACTTATGGAATTACGTTCTCGCGAAGTTAGTGGTCTCAACGATGTTTACACATCGGCGATTTTGCCCACTTTGAGCCCTATTTTCGGCCAATTCCAGTGTACTAGACGGCAAAAATCATAACTATTTTGCTAGAACTCCATTTTTTCTATCGAATGAGTACAAGAAACCACCCTTTTACCAATTTCAACTATCCAATACAGTGGTCAGAATTTAGCAATTTTGCCAATCTCTCACAAATTTCAAAAGATGCCAATTTCCGAATAGGGTCCAGAATAAACAAGAAAGACATTTCTGGCACTAAAATAACATTTCGTCTGTTCATTAGTCACATCCCCACGCCCCTATTACATTCTTTTGCTTTTCACTTTGAATTTTTATTCTCACAAAAAATAGAAGATTTACTGTTATGCAGACTACTGCATTAATGTAGAAATGGTATAAATAATATCAGCACACTTGTGAAAGAATATTAGGCTCACCAGTTGACGTGTATTGGACGCATAGCATGATTTGTTTACTTTTGAACTTTGGTAAAAATCGAACATTTCTGCTACTTTGAGCTCAATTTCAAGGTACTTTTCATTGTAAAACCAGTCAAAATCATCTCAATTTCTGTAATATGTTTTCCATTCTATAAAATGAGACCAGGAAAACTAGAATACAACAATAAAGACCATACTAAAATAAAGTGTAGTCGCTGTTTTAATCCAAAAACAAGGTCAAAGTTTTTTTTTTCTCATTACGCACTGTGTGCTGCAGGATTTTTTTTTATACTGTGCACATAGACCCATTCTTTCATATGTAGGCCTGCCAGCTTTCACTAGATTTGAGGGCGCTAGAATTTAGGCATACTAGTATGTCATGGACACTGGTGCGTAAGCCATACTAGTACAGCCGAAACCCTGAAAGGGTTAAGATTTGCCTAAAATGGGACAAGGCATTGTCATTGAACATGTTGCAGACACTGCTTGCAACAGCTTTGTTCGAGTGATATTTCTCCATAAAACTTTGCAACTTGCTCCACTTTGCACACATTCTTAATTACTGAAGAAGGCACATTCTCTCTCTCTCTCTCTCTCTCTCTCTCCTCTCTCTCTCTCTCTCTCCCTCCTCCTCTAAAGCAATTTCCTCAGCTGCAATCTGTTGCTGTTCCAGTTGAAGGTGTTGCAGCTCTTCAGTGGTTAGCTCTTCCCTGTGGTCATCCACCAACTCTTCCACATCCTGGCCACTCACATCCAACCCTGTGGACTTCACCAGTCACAATAGATTCCACAACAGGTGTAGGGTTGTCATTGTCAGCCTCAAACCCTTCAAAATCCTTCTCTTGGACACATTCTGGCCACAACTTCTCACCTTCTTGATCAGAGGGCTAACACTCCAAACTTTCTTTGGCCCCATGGTGGCTTATTTAGCAGTCGCATTCAATGAACAAGCACAAAAAAACAATGGATTATTACGAAACGTTTCATATGAAAGTGTAGGGTAATGTTCACTCAACGACAAACAAAGCCAGATTGGCTCAGAACATGTGTGTGGGATGCTTTGTGTGGGCGCTGAAAGGTGGACATGTTTGGTACAGCAGACGAAAACCGCAGTGATGAATGAAAATGGGACAAAATTTTGACGTAAAAAGTTGTCGGAAACCGAATTCGACGAAAATAAGGGCAAGCAAAAACTGATGTGTAGTTTTTCATGCAATAATTTGAGTGTCACATTTGATTAGCTTCAATCCTTCCAAGCTGATAACACAATACTAGTGTAACTTCTGAGCAGCTCTCCTGTTTCCTTTCAAATCTTCAACACTAATACAGTGGTACCCCGAGTTTTGTCATAATTCGTTCCAGAAGGCTGTTCGAGTGCCGTTACCAAATGAATTTGTTCCGTTACCAAGTGAATTTTTAGGGGTCCATTTCAGACCCCCAAAAATACACTTACAAAAGCACTTGCAGTAATACACTTACATTATTGTTCGAGTTGGGAGCTGTATGAAACTTGGGGTATCACTGTATTTAATTGCATTTTCAACTTAAGTCGCATTCTCCACAATTTAAATCATGCTGATTAACCCTTTCACTGTTGGTCCCGTAATATTATGGCTTGCAAGCCAGTGTCAGTCCCGTAATATTATGGCTTGCAAGCCAGTGTTGGTCCCTTAATGTTATGCCAAAATTCTAGCAGTTTCAAATCTTGCAGAAGACAACGGGTAGGCCTACATATAAGAGAATGGGTCTGAGTGGTCAGTGTGCACAATATAAAAATAATCCTGCAGCATTCAGTGCATAATGAGGAAAAACAAAACTCCAACCTTGGTTTTGGTTTGAAACAGCGACTTTGCGGTGTATTTTTATATGGTATTTGTGGTTGTATTCTCATTTTCTTGGTCTCATTTGATAGAATGGAAGATATATTACAGAAATAAAGATGATTTTGATTGGTTTCATAATGAAAAGTACAGTGGATCCCCGGATATCAGCCTGTGTGGATATCGGATTTTGGATGCTTTTTTGGCCAAAATTCTATCCAAGATTTCAGCTGGCAACTCGAAAATCGTCTGTGTCTCTTGGTGAGTGAGCAACACTCCACAAATTCATCCAAACATTTCATTATAATCTATTGTTTTCTGTGGTTGTTTATTGAGTGCGACTGCGAAGTAGGCCACCATGGGCCCAAAGAAAGTTCCTGGTGCCAACCCTTTGGTAAAGAAAGTGAGGAACACGATAGAATTCAAGAAAGAAATTGTAGCCAAGTACGAAAGTGGTGTACGTGTGCTTGAGCTTGCCAGGATGTATGGCAAATCCAAATCAACAATCACTCTCTGGACAGTTTTTTTGTGCGACAGGGGTGCAGTGACTCTCAAGCTGGTCCTAGTGCCAGTAAAAGACAAAGAAGGGAAGTAACCCCAGATAGGGACTTGTTACCTGAAGTCCTTATGGAGGGGGATTTCCCTTCCAAACAATAATCAGTCCTCCCTCTCTCCTCCTCCCTGTCATCCATATGCCAACAAGAATCTTCAGTAAAGGTAAATGTGATGTTAAATGTTCATTTATCCATTTCATTAATCATTTTATTTAGTTCTCATTGTTTTGTGTATGTAAAACTATAGTTAATCTTTAAAAAAATGTATTTTTTTGTTAATATTTTTGGGTGTCTAGAACAAATTGTATTTACATTAATTCTTATGGAAAATATTACTTTGGTTTTTGGCCTTTTTTGGATTTAGGTGGACCTTCTGGAACAGATTATGGCTGGAATCCTGGGTTCCACTGTACGTTGAAATCGAGTTCAAAGTAGCGGCAGTGTTCAATTTTTGCCCTTGTTCAAGAGTAAACAAATAAGTCACCTTCCAATACGTGTCCAACTTGCCAGTCTAATATGCAGTCACAAATGGGTTGACATTATTTATACAATTATTACAATAATGCAGGAGTCTGCATAACAATAAATCTTCTGTTTTTTGTGGGAATAAAAATTCAAAATGAAAAGCAAGAGTAAGATAAGAGAGGCCTGGAGACATGACTAATGAACAGAGAAAATGTTATTTTAGTGCCAGGAATGTCTGTTGTTTATTCTGGACCCTATTTTGAAGTTGGCATCTTTTGAAATATGTGTGAAATTGGCCAAATTGCCAATTTCTGACCATTTTATTGTGAAGTTGAAATCAGTAAATGGGCAGTTTCTTGTACTCAGTCGATAGAATAAATAGAGTTTTAGCGAAATAGTTTGGTTGACTGGAACAATGAAATTGGCTGAAAATAAGGCTCAAAGTGGACAAAATCGCTGATACGTAAATATCGCCGAGACCAGTAACATCGCGAGAGCGTAATTCTGTAAGTTTTCCATCAAATTTCGTACTTTTGGTGTCATTACCTTGGAGAAAAGATTCTCTTATCATTTCATAAGATTTTTTTTTTTAAATTCTTCGACACACAGAGAGCAAGTTTGTGAGCAGGGGTCTCAACAGTGAAAAGGGTAAGGCACTGGGGACTTGGGTTATGGAATACTGGGATATGTTTATTGGACAAAAAAAAAAAATGGTGTGTAGCATTATCACTGTCTCAAGATTGACTGAAGAGAAGTGGCATAAAATACAGATATGATCGTAAAAGAGAGAGAAACGCAGTAAAATGTTACCCCGTATTGATCTGCCAAGCAGTGGGCAGATCATCAAGATAAACTTCTGTTGTGATAAAGCCCACTGCATGGACATACGTCAATAAAGGCTTGCATCTTAGAGCCTTTCTCTCTTATTATCTTATGATGAGTGTTGAAGACTTCACTTATGTTTTTGCATGACCTCAAGAGTTTTCATAAGTAAATTAATATCTTCCATTTAATAATAATAATAATACAAATTGTGTAATTTGAAAGAGTTACAATATATGTATTTCTTGGTAGAGGGCGTGGCCGTGGAGGGCGCATAAACCGAGGGGGACGTGGGAGCAGAGGAGCTCGTGGAGGAATCACTGCTATCCCTGGGGAAAACTGGACTCGTGAACAACTGGATCAGCAGCTGGATGAGTACATGAGCAAGACTAAGACTGCCCTTGACTCAGAGCTTGATCAGTACATGAAAGATACCCAAGTGTAAACATAGGTTATATCAAAGCCAAATATTATCTTGCCTGAAATGAGTTTTAATTCTCATTGTCTCTTTGAGAATGAATTGGAATTTTTTCTTGCAAGACTTCATTGTTTTATAAATTAGTGGATGTCTTGCACCTGTTCAAAGTGATTGCTATAGAATTTATATAGTAATCCTTGAGTTGAAGCAGTTAGCAGGCACAGCATAGTGGTGAAAATACCATATTCCTCCAAAATTTTGACTAAATAGTTATATTTTTTATATTCTAATATCTGCCAGTGCTGGTAGTGCTTTAGTTTCTTAATGTATGTATTAATATTGTAAATTCTAAAAGAAAATTTTTACAGTGAAACCCAGTCCTCGGATGAATGAATGGACCCTTATGCTCAATAACATAAATTTTCTCAAGAACTAGATTTAAACTTTGCTTCTAGTGGTAGTTCATTTTGAGAAAAATGACTGCAGTTAGTTCACTCCCCAGACAACACATGTACAAACACAAACACTTTTCTAAACTCTTGTGTGCTTGTTCACGTGTTTACTCAGTGTGTACACACTTAGTGAACAGTCATTATATACATGCACATCCATTTAGAATTATAATGTGTGCATGAAAAAGGACTTTGCTGTAGCTTAGAAAATGGTCTGGAGTTTGTTTATGCTTTAGTAATTTTTATAGTTTAAAATTGTCTTATTGTACAGTTGTCAGTTCCTTAGTCTGTTATTCTAGTGTAGCAGTATGGATTAAAAAGGACTACTATGCAGATGAGTAGTGAATGTGCTACTTTTATTGCATATCACATTTCTTTTTATTTATTACAGGAGTCCTGATATTTTTATTATTCATTATAAAATATTTTGTTGTATTAAGTATGCACAATATTTTTTCACATTGGAAATTCATTTGTTAGACATTGAATTAGAGCAGTAAAATTAATTCATAGTACTGTCATGTATCTTAAAAGGTTTGATTTTTAGTGTAATTGTTTTGTACAGTTTAAAGACACTTTTTCTTTCACTGCACAGTACAGTCTTGATTTTTGATTGCCAATCATGTAAATCAAGAAGAGAATGCTATTTTCAGTAAAAGTCAGTTACTATCCAAGATATTATGTGAGTAGTATTAACACCTGTGGCATTTGTAAACAAATTTTTTTTATGTGAAGAGAATAGAAAAGTTTGCTTAATAGATTTCAGTATATAAGAAATATTTCATTGCTGATGCCACGAATGACCATAAATCCTGAATGGTGTAATAATATTTTTTGCCTAGTAACTGAAGTAATTAAGTTTTGAAATAGTTGATGGAATAGGGATGGAATAACAAATTACAGTAAATGTTAATAGAGCTTATACTAGTCACATGTACTATATTAAAGCTTTTTTCTATTTTCACTACTTGAGATTTGTTTTAGAAACCTTGTAAAGCCATTCTGCAAAAACTGTATTTTTTAGATATTGTTTTCTTTGAATATTGTATTATGTTCATCAGTAATTTATAATTCCATTTGTATTAATGTTTACAAAAGATTGTGAAATTTGATCTATACATTTGTTCATGTATCATTTTATAATTCACTTGTATAATATTGGCATTCAATTAGGCTAATACTTTGACTTTAAAATTGGTATTAGAATAAAAGCATGCCTGGTATATAGAACCCTTGAAGAGTTTTATACATAAAAAGCTGATATTATACTATGGAAATAAAGACTTGAATTAAAAGTTTTTGTACAATATTGTACATGATAACATTAATCATAAACAACTTTGCTGCAAGTAAATTTGTGACAGGTTAACTGGATTATAAACATTCTTTGTCATAAATAGTGATTATATAAACTTTTCATTATTACCTTGGGAGGCATACTTGTCAAGAATAGGGAAGGGCTAATAAATGATAAAATATTTAATTTAGACTTCTCAAGGCAGAAATAAGGAAAAATTAAATTGGTCCTCAAAGTAATTATGATTTTTATTTGGGCTATACTATAACTGAAGCTGTACTTAATGGCTTTGGTTCTTTTCCCTCCTACTTTCACATCCCAGCAGTCTATGTGTATCCCTTCATCTCCAAGGTGCTGTATCTTTGTTAAGGCCATGTGCTGCTTCCTAGAGCATTTTCCATCACGGGCTACTGCAGTGTGCAGCAATCTTCAAATTTACCAAAGGTGAAGTATTTAGTATGTGTCTTTTTTCATATGGCATGATTCAGGAGTGCTTACCCCACTTTCATGGCAGTGCTATATTCAATTTTTTCTGTTATCGGAATTGAGTCCCTGTCTGCCTTTTACTTTGTCTAGGTTTTGGACACTCGGTACCTTACAGGCAATTTAGGTCTTTGATTCCTATTATCCCATTGTTCTGTGGCTTCAGCAGTGGCTGTTCCACCTCTTTAATCTACACAAAGGTGTTGTCTTTTGCTGGAACCCCAGACATGGTGTTCAAGGTAATGAAACTGCAAAAAACTACTGCTTGTCTGAGATTCAGGACATGTAGTTCTCTATAGAGATTTGCTGTTTTCTGACCAGTACAATCATGTATTGATATACAATATATCTACAGATCGTAGACAGTGTCATTGGTCTGTGTTGGGGATCAACAAAATGTTGTCAAACTACAGCTCTGTTTCTGGCCAATCTCTTTCCATATCAGTTGACTGTGTGAAATGCCTCTCACACACTTTCATTGGCTTCATGCCTCATGAATGGACATCCCATAGATGCCTGGCACCCTTCTGTGAGACCAGCTGTCTCCCACCGAGGCAGGGTGACCCAAAAAAGACAGAAACACTTTCACCATTGTTCAACACTTGCCATCATTCACATATAATCACTGTCTTTGCAGAGGTGCCCAGATATGACAGTTTAGATGTTACTCCTAACAGCCAATATCCCAAACCCTTCCTTTAAGGTGCAGGCATTGTACTTTCCACTTCCAGGACTCAAGCACAGCTAACTGGTTTCCTTGAATCCCATCACAGAATATTACCCTGCTCACACTCCAACAATTCGTGAGGTCCCAGAAACCACCACTCGTCTCCATTCACTCCTATCTAGAAGGCTCACACATGCCTGCTGCATGTCTAGGCCCTTTGCATACAAAACCTCTTTTAACCCCTCCCTCCATCCTGTCCTAAGATTACTACTACCCCTCCTCTCCACTACAGATTTATGTACCCTCCAAGCCATTCTGTTTTGCTCCATCCTCTCTAAATGACCAAACCCCTCCTCATTTCCACATCACACCACCACCTCATTTCTACGCTATGAATTCTCTGCATAATATTTACACCACACATTGCCCTTAAACACGACATCTCCTGCCTCCAGCCTCCTCCTCACTACAGCATTCACAACTCGTGCTTCACACCCATATAAGATTGTTGGTACCACTATACTCTTGTACATTCCCATCTTTGCCTCCATGGATAACTTTTTTTTTGGTTTAGAAAGACACGTAAGCAAACACTATAACATATTTATTAGAAAACGTTTCGGTCCTGGGACCTTGATCACTTCTAAGATGGAGGTAGAAAGACATTATATATATAGGCGGAGAGTGAGATGTGACGCACGTGACCTGAGGAATGTCATAAGAACACAAGAATGGAGGAACACTGTAGAAGGCCTACTGGCCCATGCGAGGCAGGTCCTTATCAAAACAACCTCTGCCTATGATGAGGACGAGTAGACGATGAAATCATGTGACTCCTGTGTTGTTGGGTTGGTGCTGCTTAAGTATCATGTATGCCAATGTTTTTGAAATTTTGTAGTTTCCAGTGTTGCGTTCTATAGTGTCGGTGACGGTGATTAGTGAGGCTTCTAGGCACCATCGGCGTCTGAGGTCTGGTTCGGTGAGAACGAGTTGTGCCTCGTTCCAGTTCATCAAATGCCCCGTGGAGTCTCTGTGGAGGACACAGGTGTACCTTACATCGTCTCTGTTAGAGGCATTTCGATGCTCATTCAGGCGGACTGCAAGATCTCTGCCTGTCTCGCCTACATATTTCTTGGGACAGAACCCACAGGGGATAGTGTAGACGCCTGCTGTAGAAGTTAGAGGTGTGGGGCTGCGTTTAGTAGTGAGGTCTTTGATAGAGGATGTGTTTATGGTGGAAACGTTTTCTAATAAATATGTTATAGTGTTTGCTTACGTGTCTTTCTAAACCAACTTGTCGGTATTTATTACCAAGGTTTATACCAACTTTTTTTTTGTCTCCACAGATACCTCAAAGTACCACTTACCCTTTTTCCTTCAGTTTTATGGTTAACCTCATCCTTCATAAACCCATCTGCTGCTAAGTCAACTCCCAAATATCGGAACACATTCACTTCTTCCATACTCCCTCCCTCCAATGTGATATCCAATTTTTCTTTACCTATATTGTTTAATACCCTCATCACCTTACTCTTATCTATGTTCACTTTCAACTTTCTACCAGCACACTTATATGTGTGTGAAGCATGACTTGTAAACGCTGCAGCCAGGAGGAGGCTGGAATCAGTGATGTCGTGTCTAAGGGCAATGTGTGGTGTAAATATTATGCAGAGAATTCAGAGAGTGGAAATTAGGTGAAGGTGTGGTGTTACTAAAAGTATTAGTCAGAGGGCTGAAGAAGGGTTGTTGAGGTGGTTTGGTCATTTAGAGAGAAGGGATCAAAGTAGAATGACTTGGAGAGCTTTTAAATCTATAGGGGAAGGGAGGTGGAGTAGGAGTCGTCCTCAAAAAGGTTGGAGGGAGGAGATAAAAGAGGTTTTGTGGGCGAGGGGCTTGGATTTTCAGCAAGCATGTGTGAGCATGTTAGATAGGCGTGAATGGAGACGAATGGCTTTTAGGACCTGACGAGCTGTTGGAGTGTGATTCGGGAGAGGGATGGGATTAAATTATGGGGAATCAAATACAAAATAGGAATTAACACAGTTACTTTTTGCTGATGATACTGTGCTTATAGGAGATTCTAAAGAAAAATTGCAAAGGTTAGTTGACGAGTTTGGGAGTGTGTGTAAAGGTAGAAAGTTGAAAGTGACCATAGAAAAGAGTAAGATGATGAGGGTATCAAATGATTTAGATAAAGAAAAATTGGGGAGGAGGAGTATGGAAGAAGTGAATGTTTTCAGATACTTGGGAGTTGACGTGTCGGCGGATGGATTTATGAAGGATGAGGTTAATCATAGAATTGATGAGGGAAAAAAGGTGAGTGGTGCGTTGAGGTATATGTGGAGTCAAAAAACGTTATCTATGGAGGCAAAGAAGGGAATGTATGAAAGTATAGTAGTACCAACACTCTTATATGGGTGTGAAGCTTGGGTGGTAAATGCAGCAGCGAGGAGACGGTTGGAGGCAGTGGAGATGTCCTGTTTAAGGGCAATGTGTGGTGTAAATATTATGCAGAAAATTCGGAGTGTGGAAATTAGGAGAAGGTGTGGAGTTAATAAAAGTATTAGTCAGAGGGCAGAAGAGGGGTTGTTGAGGTGGTTGGTCATTTAGAGAGAATGGATCAAAGTAGAATGACATGGAAAGCATATAAATCTATAGAGGAAGGAAGGCGGGGTAGGGGTCGTCCTCAAAAGGGTTGGAGAGAGGGGGTAAAGGAGGTTTTTGTGGGTAAGGGGCTTGGACTTCCAGCAAGCGTGCGTGAGCGTGTTAGATAGGAGTGAATGGAGACGAATGGTACTTGGGACTTGACGATCTGTTGGAGTGTGAGCAGGGTAATATTTAGTGAAGGGATTCAGGGAAACCGGTTATTTTCATATAGTCGGACTTGAGTCCTGGAAATGGGAAGTACAATGCCTGCACTTTAAAGGAGGGGTTTGGGATATTGGCAGTTTGGAGGGATATGTTGTGTATCTTTATATGTGTATGCTTCTAGACTGTTGTATTCTGAGCACCTCTGCAAAAACAGTGATAATGTGCGAGTGTGGTGAAAGTGTTGAATGATGATGAAAGCATTTTCTTTTTGGGGATTTTCTTTCTTTTTTTTGGGTCACCCTGCCTCGGTGGGAGACGGCTGGACTTGTTAAATATATATATATATAATATATATAATATATATATATATATATATATATATATATATATATATTCTTCTTCTTTCAACATACCAGCCGTATCCCACCGAGGCAGGGTGGCTCAAAAGAAAAAACTAAAGTTTCTCTTTTTAAATTTAGTAATATATACAGGAGAAGGGGTTACTAGCCCTTGCTCCCGGAATTTTAGTCGCCTCTTACAACACGCATGGCTTACGGAGGAAGAATTCTGTTCCACTTCCCCATGGAGGTAAGAGGAAATAAACAAGAACAAGAACTAGAAAGAAAATAGAAGAAAACCCAGAGGGGTGTGTGTGTGTATAATAGTGTACAGTTATTTAGTGTGACCTAACATGCTATGTAGAATAGCAAGATACCTAAATTTGCATGTTTAGAGAAGACAAAGACATACCGAAATCTACCATTATGTAACAGACAATTAAGCAGCTTCAGCTTTACCTACACATGGCAGACGTAATAACCATTCCGGGTGTTGCGTTTACACCACTACTGACACAGACACAAGTATTAATATCTGGTAGTATGTTATAATACAAATATACCTACATATAAATTATATATAATAAATATAATATATATATATATATATTAATATATGATGGGTCCCAATGACAGTTCTAGAGGTGGTACCTATATATATATATATATATATGTATGTACATACCACCTCTAGAACTGTCATTGGACCCTCATCCTCAGAGAAAAGAATAAACTTGCTTCAGGGAAAACTCAAGGTTTTCCCTGAAGCTGTTTGAGAATTTTCTCCTACCACCCCCTATATTTCAAGTATGTTTTTATTTAAAGACAAAAATACATTGGCCAAACATTCACAAAAATACAACAGAAAGCAAAACAACATAGGTAACTCAGAGCTACATCTCGAATACTTCGTCCAGCTCCCCTGCAGTGGGCCGCGTGC